CTGACATTATTCCAGGATGTGTGCAATGATTTTCGAGTTTCTTTCAGCACTTAAGATGAAACACAAGGACAAATTATTTACTCGTTTAGTATTCCTAGGGCTGGAAAAGTGACACAGTGCTTAAAGTTGTAAGGATAGCTAGGGACAAGATAAGGAAACTCAGGGGTCTGCTTTGTATACTAATTGAAATGTCAACGTTTGAGATGAGAGCAATGGAATCATTTTATAGTAAGAAAGCTCAAGACATTTTCTTTCCAAAGACTATTAAGGTTAGTAGGATTAGGTCATCATTAGGCATATATATTTCAAGAGTGGATGGAAAAAAACAACCATAAACATGTTTTTGATGTACATCTTCCAGATAAATAAAAAAGATCGATTGCAGCACGATATTGTTCAATGGAGTAACCCATTACCTACCGTGTGATAAAAGTAAATTTTAAACAAAAAGCTGCAATGGGTAGCTGCTTATGACACATTCAAAAACTACAGTAACTGAATCGACTATTTGTTTGCATGACTAAGAAATTTTGGATATAATGCATAGTTCAAAAAGTTAACAAAAAAATAATAGAAAGTATAACACAAACACAAAATAAACAGGAAAAACAAATGGAAAGTGAATATGTACATAGAGATATCGTAAATAATAATATGCTGTACACTTTTGTAATAAAAGAACACAGAAATTGTGTAATTGTGTTGAAAAGGTTTAAAGTTGTGGGAAAACTGTAAAGATACACATTAGTAAAAATGGTATCTTCACAAAAACAAGCTAAGGAGTGCAAATACAAAGTAACCAAAATGTATATGGGTCATTCTCAAAAAATGTCCAGATTTCAGTGATACAAGTTTTCTGGTAAATATTTTAATAAAATAAAAACTTTTTTGTGCTCATGAACTTAACAATGATCTAAAATTAAGATAACAGATTTAAAGTACGATTAAAAATTGATATAAATACTGAAAAAATCCTTCAACATGAGTTAAATTAAAGAAAATTGCTTGTGATTTCGCCGAGGGTGTATTTTCAACCCTCCTTATTGAGACAGTAAATATAATTTGGGAGTATAAAATACCTTTAATGTATTGTAAATACTTAACATTGTTTAAAAACATGCTAAAAGGTGACTGAAAAAAGTAAGAATATAATTTTTAAAGCAATAAACGTTAAAAAAAACTTTGTGATTTTCGCCGTGTCCTTGGAGTAACCAAGACATGAAAGTTATCTGTAACAGTTATTTTTCTTGAAGGAACTCTTCAGCATCAGCCGCCTTTTAAAGATATTGTACCCGCCAAAATATAAAAAGACACAAAACATGTGTGTTTCACCCCGTAGACACAATATTTGGTTTCAGTTGAGTTTGGTTGAGAGAGTAATTTATTTTTAGGTCCTTGGAGTTACTTAAATAATGTGAAGATAAATTAATATATAATGTTTGAGATGCATTGAGCGATTTTGAAGTGAAATACACATGATGTAGGAAATGTGCTCTATCTTTTTAAGTCAGTCATAGCTTTTATACTTGTAAGTTTTGATGTAGTAATTCCCTAGCGTTACTGTCCATTTTGTTATTGTAGGAAAAGTTACTCGAAGGACGTATTTAATTACTCTATGGACAAACTGTACAAAAACTTCAATATTTACAATTTAAAAATTAAATATAATGTGTAAAGTTTACCGAAAATAGTATATCAATAATATTTGTATCATCTGATCATATGTTTTACATATAATATTTTATACATGCTACAAATTCATTCAGTAAATGATATGTGTAACACAAAGGACAAATTTGGTAACTCTATGGACGTCAAAATGATGAAACATTTTCATTATTAATATACTCTTGTAGTTATTCTTGCTTCAGCGGTAGAGTACAGAGAATTATTTATTTTGAGTAAATTGAAATATCAAAATTTCTTATGAAATACATCTTTACCCCTTTTTAACCCTATAATACTTAACTATGGTAACATTATAGACAAATTCAGTTACACAAGGGACACGACAAGCGTTTAAGATAGAAAAATGAAATAAAAATACCACGTATGAAGTCGTAATTGTGTTCAATGTATAAAAGAAAACAATTGTGGGGAGATGGTACAATTTGAGTTACAATAAATATAATGAAGTCCTTAAAAATGAGATGGTTAAAGTGGTAACTCCAGGGAAGTATAGGAACACAAGGGAATAAAATAAAAATCCAGGATTTTATGATATATGACATTTCTTACTCTGAAACCTGTTGATTCTATGTTAAGTTCTCTCGATGAAGATATTGGAAGGACAAAACATTTCAAAAGTTGCAAAAAAGAGACAGACAGACAAGTGAAAGATCAAAGGAATCCAGACACCTTCAAAGTAAAGTCAGATATAGAACATTTGACTATTCTAGCATGGAATGTGTATATCTGACGATGAAATAGTTACAAATTTTTCATCACTATCAAAAGCGATATCAAAAGATTATATTTCAGAGGAACAATGCATCTGTCACCAATCATGAATTTTTGTTTGAAAGTAGATGAGGATACTCTTCATGCAGATTTGTCTAATTGATTTTCCCCATAAAGGTTGGAAATTGTTTGTAAACCTTACACTATAGAAGTATTTTAAAACTTTTGGAATGAAGTCAGAACGCTGAAGTAAGAGTTGACATTATATTAGAGGCAGTACTTAATATGGATCTCTATCTTTCCCAGCATATCTTGAAATTTATTTCAAACAACAAATAGGCATTAGGCAAAGGTATATTCTTTATGCAGCTGATCAAAACTTAATATAAAATCAAATAATTTATAAAAAAGGAAGGGCAGACAAAAGAGTACATATGAAGAGAAACTAGAGCAACCAGAGTTCCTGAAAAAAAAAATGAATAAAAATACTGAAAACACTGAGACCCTGGAAAAGAAACCAGATAAAAATGCTAAAACACTGGAAAAGAGATAATCAGAACTTCATGTATGATCAAAGCAGTAATGAAAATAAACAAAACTAAATTTGACCAAAAACTGTAGAAGATGAATATTCGTACAACATAGGTGATGTTTTGGTTATAATTTGTCCTCCACATCCTGTAGGTAGGAAATATTAAATAGATAACCCAGTTTGGAAGGAGGCTGTATGTAAAACAAAACAAATAAAATGAGATGTCCTTTGTGTTATCTTTTGTCTTTGGTGTTACAACTTCTTTTTGGACATACAAATACTTGTACATGCACCGATCAATGATTCTAGGTCCTATGATAGTAATCCTGCATTATTCATGCATAACTTATTTTTATTTTTTGTTGATGTTTCCGTATCTTTATAATTGGACAATTATGTCTATGTTGTTACTTTTTAATCATTGGTGTTACTAGTCGGACTCCAAATGTAAAAAGAAATGAAATATCAAGCAATTTTTTTCTTAAAATCATATACTTTCATTAACATCTATTAGATAATGCCATTGTTGTGTTTTTTGCGGGGGAAGGGAAACAGATTTATTATTTATTCTTAAGGTTTTAACAAAACGTCCTTTGTGTTACTTTTAAGTCCTTTGTGTTATGAATATGTCCTTGGTGTAACTCAACCATTTTTCCTGAATTTATTTTCTAAATCTTTCTACAATTTTATCAAACTTGCTACATAATCCTGTAGTCTTCTAATACAAAGTATAAGCACAAAGCCAGTATTCCATGCTGAGGTAAAATGACATATGCTTAAGATATATATGTAAGAATAATCAAATTTTATAATTTCAACAACTTTCAGCTTCATGTCATCTGAAATTTCTTTCTTAAGAACCCTCAGTTTGTTTTGATAGAATATTTTTGATCAAGATGTTGAGATTATGATTCTAGAAACCTTAATTTTTTGTTAGTTATTATTTTATTGCGATTTTTAAGTAAGTAACACCATGGACGTTTATTGCTGGATGCACCTACTTAAAATGGATTTTATAGTAAATGTTGATAGAATTCTTAGTGTTTCAACATTTTTTACGCATCTCTGATGTTTCATTACTAACATAAAACAAGTATTTAGTTCTCAGGATTTATTTTCTCTAAATTCTCTTGATGGAATCTGGACAAAATTTGAGAATGACCCATATACAGAATTGATTAAACAATAGATGCAAATAATGCATAGGTATATATAGGGAATTGAGAAGTTGTGGATAATGTTGATATAATCTGGATCATAAAAAAGAAAATAGATTAGATTGTAGCTTTTGTTATGATTGACATTTAATTTTTAAGGTCATATTGAAATACTTGTCAGAAATGGTTGAAAGTTTGTCATTTGAGGATTTTGAGGGAAAAACACCTACACTGCCTCCTGAATTTCATAATTTATAATTTGAGCAAACTTGAATCTACACTTAGTATATTATTAGCATATTTCTTTGACAAATATACTGCAAAAGAAGATTTGAAAAAAGTCCCTGTTAGTTTTATCATCTATTGTGGCCCCCCTACCCCCCCCCGGGGGGGGGGGGGTGATTTGAAAAACCCTGAATCTACACTACATGTACGCCAGAAGGCTTCTATGAAAATAGGACCAATCATGGCTCTGTTCTTGTTGAGAAACTTTTGAAAGATTTTTCCTGTGTATTCCAATGAATATGAATTAGATTGAGATTTATTTAACATGTACAGTATAAAATGCTTTAAGCAGAAAAAAATATTTTAAACGAATCGCTTTATAATCGTAAAAGTAGTCTTTCGGAGTCAATTAGTCTAGTTTCGAAAATGAATTTTCCATTCCTTCAGGATTTTTAACTTAAAAAGAAATACAAGCTAAAATCTTTTACAAACTGAAGATACATTTCTGAGTTGACAAGGAAGACAACTATAGCATATCTATATTCCTGATTCAGCATATAAATAATTAATTCTTAATGCATAAAGACACAATCTTTTCTAACAAATAGAAATATTAAGCACCATATTATATAATATGCAGTTAAAGCAGAAATCATAATGCAGTATTTGTTTAAACTCAGAATTACCTGATCGTATGAATCGTTGAACTTCTTCCTTCTATTTTGTTTTTGCTAGGTATTGACTTGGTTACTCTACAAAAAATGATTGAATTCAGAATTGATCAGCCAATAAATTTAAACTCCTTTGTCATGTGACAACAATTTTTTTTTCTTGGTAACAGAAGCAAAAGTAGATGTCTATTGTTCCTGCTTGTCGTGTATGTTTTTTAAAAACAACTTGAGTAGTCCAGTAAAGACTTTTATAGCTTCCTTCAAACGAAAACCATTTCTGTTTTCTTTAAACAGTGCTTTTTATCAATAATATTAAATAATACCAGACGAATAATCTATCATGTCTACTGAGTATGTACCAGAACAGATCTCATTCTGTTTTTGTAAGACGGGTCTTTGACGGCACACGGCATACAGGCTTTATATTAATTTTCTTATCGATTAAAAAAAATCAATCCATTCTCTGAGCCGTCCTTTGATCAGTACATTCATTCTGCAATCACATAAAAAAAAATATACGTGCGCTAAGGTTATTCTGATTATGTCAAAAGTGGATTCAAAAGGGGCATTTTATTCACGCAGTAGCAGTGTTTGATTTTCGGTTAAATTTCCACGATAATTGTTAAGTTCAAGACTTTACTCAATATCGGAAGTCTGTCTGTCTGTCTGTCTGTCTGTCTGTCTGTCTGTCTGTTTGTTTGTTTGTTTGTTTGTCCCATTTATTTTTTATTTTTAGTTTTGTATTGATAATTCCTACCAGAAATTATATCACATTATAATTTATAATAAGATAAGTAAGTTTGATCCGTCAACAAACTGCCGTTTTAATTATTCGAAGGGAGTGGTCAGATTATGGAAATTATCTGTCCTTAAACATGTTTAAAAATAAAAGAATGTTCCTTACTGGCAAGGGAAGAAGTGAGTCTTTTCTTGCCTGTTACTGCTACCCCCATCATTAACACATTCCCCCGCGAAATTGTGTTTCCATTTTGGTCAATTTTGGTTTGTTTGTTTGTTTAATCAGTAATTAATAAAATTAAAAATCTGTCCATTGAAATCTTGAAAATAAATTAAATGTCCTTTACTGGCATAAAAGTAAAAAAATCTGAGTTTCAAAAAAAATGAAAGAAAAAACCCATAAATTAAACATACCATCTATTGATGCCAAATGTTCTCTTTAAGTAAGAAAAGAAAAATAACCCCCTTTACGGTGTGTCGCAAAACTATTCGAAATCTAACTGGAGTTGTCGTTCTTAGGTCACAGTCGAGATCTTCTTATGTGTTTGGCTAGCATACAACTTTTAATGAACATCTTTTGTGTTTTTTATTATTTTCATTTAAATGTCACAGTTCACTAATATTCCAATAGTACTAGTTAGAATAATCCAACTGTGTCTCAGGACAAGCCCTTCGTAGTACGATAATTTTCATTTTTAAAACAATAGAACGTTCTATCTATGTATGTGCGTGTACATCAAGACACTGAATTTTTTATAAATTTTTTTTATTATTATCATTGACCAGTTTTTCTTAAAAATAATATCTGTCAGTGACCTTATGCGTGTTACCAACTTCTTTTTGTGTCGCCTGTAGAGCGTCTGTCTGTCACATCTTACACGTATACAACCGCGGGATTCCCAAAATTTGGAGACATATTGGAATCGTGGCATCAGTATTTTCATATGTATTTAGTTTCTTTTTTTCCCTTGGAAAGAAGCTTCAAAGGTTTCCCTATATTTTTTCCGGAAATGTCTGACAGTCAACCCGTGGTTTCCACCATGGTTCCCAAATGGGAAAACTTTAAAAATAAACATTTTTAAAATTACTAATCACCTATTTTCCATTTTAGGAAATTTGTAAGTTGTGGAATCTTATCACTTATTTCCCCGTTGACATTATTAATAGTCAGGCATTTTGGAAACCTTTCTAAAAAATTTGATTTGACTCTAATTTACCCTTATAAGATTTAACACTCTAGATCTTCCGCTGTTGGTGTGTAATTCTGCATTAGAAAATGGATGTGGTGATTGTGGTCGTAAACCGAAATGAATTGTTAATTAAATTTCAAATTCAATATATTTTTAATATTTTTCACTTTCAGTAAAACTAATATAAATGCACTTGCACTTATTGCAATAGAGGTATTGGAATTAACGGGAAGAGTAACTTTTTTTTTTTTAATAAATTGCAGAAATTATAATTGCAATGTGTACACGTCTACGTCTACTGGACATTTCGGATAAAAATCTGTCATTGTGCTGCCCCTTGTGATCGTGGGCACCTCTCCTCACGTGTCACAGGTGGGGACACGTGTCGCAAAGACACCTGCTACTGTGTTTGTGTATATTTTGTATATTCTGTGTGATTTGAGAGGCTCTTTTAAATAACAGAAAACAAAGGGACTGACTTCAACCGTTTACATAACAAGTCTCCACAAACTCAGGGTTAATTCAGGTGGCAATTGCTGGTCATCGATTTTAAAAATACTGATAAAATGAGCTATAATTATCAATATTACATTTAATTTTCATAGATGTTTAAAGAGAAGAATTAGATTAAGCTTCTAATTCTTATAACTATTTGAAATGAAAAAAAAATCGCAAGCGCGCAGTTTGTCATAGAATATTTTTTTTAATTAATAACAGGGGTATGAAAATTTGATAAAAGGCTTGTTTTAGCTTAAATTTGGGATTTTTCAGTTGTAATACAGTGTACTTTGTGAATGTCATAGAAAACTATAAAAATGTTATTTACAAAAAAGCAAAGGATGCGGTATGGTATTCCGGGGGGGGGGGGGGTACCAGGAACCTAGTTGTAGACCTCTTCATCACGGGTGCAATATATTTTTGGTAAGATTTTTGATAGACGTTTGCAATGAAAAGTGCAATATAATATTGATTTTAAGAAACAAATCATCACTAGTACATGTGCATCAATTTAAGGTCATTGGCAAGGCAGGGTTTCCGGAGAAAAAAGGTATAATACATAGGTTTTCCCATTTACAAAATAAAGTCAAGTTTCAAGTTTTTATTTAAGACAAGTCACTGAGAGTGATCTCCCATAAATAAAGCGTTTAAACAGAGGTAAAGTAAACAAAAGCACATGTATTAATTAAAGGATAGAATCAACTATAATGGTAGAAAGAAAAGCAATGATAACTTTGTTATACATTGTGTAAACTAAAAGGGCAGACAGTCATCAGGTCGTCATTTACATGTACCATAGTTATAATTATACAAAGATGCGACATGTGCTGAAAGTGGCGAAAGCTTGGCTGGTAACCGGATATGAGAACAGTTCTATGGGTTATGTAGAGGAGGCACCGTTTTATAGTACATGTAGTAACTACGAATAAAAGTTTTAATAAACCCATGCAAATATATTTATGACAATTTGTTTCCAATAACGTAAATTACATGATAGAAACTCTTGATCATTGTGAATAATAATTAGATGTTAAGGGGAGTAATTCAAAATTAACTAACAGTGCTGGAATTTCTGTGTCTTGTTTCTATATTTTGCATTTTCAGCCAAAATATATAAATGTCATCGGATATAAGGATACAGCAATGTATTTTATTTAAAACGTCTATGACATAAATGGGTTTTAGATAAATCGTATGGTTAAAAATTATGTAGGTCCTTTTTATCAACATTTTACATAGGAAATGCATTGACTCTGATTGAGAATTGTGAAAGCATTGATTCGACAAAATCTAAAAAGGAAGGCTGGCTTGGTGGGTTAAATGAACCAGAATTAAATATATTTGGTACCATTAAACATGTTCAACAATTCTTGAAAATTTCTAAACTAAAGCCAGAAACCTTGCCAATGTCCTTAAAACACGGGGAACAACCGTTACGTCATATTTGAATCTCAGATATTGGTTGAGTTGTCTTTCTTCTTTTGTTTGAACTGGAGACTTTAAATTTTAGAAAACACATTTTATTGCTTCATGATATAAAATGCATTGTTTTAAACTACATGTGTAAATTGTACATACGATACACAGTCAGTCGTAAATTATCAAATCTGACCTATAAGAATAATAGACGATTCTTCCTCCATGACATAAATTAGAATATTGTCACAGATGAACATTTATCTTGCATTGGACGTTTTCACAACTTTACTTTAATTTGTAATCTTTGAAGTTGACATTCCTCGTGTGACTTATAGAGGACTACGAAACAGGATATCCATTTACACGGTCATAACTAACATATCAAAAACCTGGTCTATTTTGGGCTTAATACTTTCATTTTTGTTACTATTTTTGCGTTTGTAAATATTTAAGCTTCCTTAAATCTGAAGTATACTCATGTTCAAGTAGAAATTATCAACAATAATGAAATAACTTGATATTAAGTGTAAACTTGAAAATGAAGAGCATTAACAATGGGGATTTGATTTATAATTGGGTCTGAGTTTAAAAAATTAAAATCTTTCAGCCGTCTCATGTGTACATATCTTGTTACATATGCAGTCAAAGAAAACAGACCAAGAAACGGCCGACGAGCTTGTCTAGGTAATTATTTAGGAAGTAAGGATCATTGGTTAAAATGCACATATCACTCAGTGTCATTTTATTTTAGAATTCTCTCTCTCTCTCTCTCTCTCTCTCTCTCTCTCTCAAACACACAATTTTAAATTACATTAATTTTAAATTTTGATTCATTGTGATATAAAACAAACTTATTCTCCAAGTTTGTGGATAGTCAGTCGAATTTAAATCCATGTGAAGGCTTTCGAATTGGTATGCCAAAAGATGAAAGGAGCGGATCATCACACACCCATGTACATGCATAGCCAGTAAAGGTGACAGATAAAAACGCGACAATACTTACATTTGTTAAGTTATTTGGAAGCCATTAGGATGGAAAATTCATTAATAGGAATTCATCAAGATATAGTGTCTTAACTTCTTTATTATGAGGATCTTCCAATGTGCACACCGGCAAACGTTTAAACTGTTAACATGCATAAAATGTTTCATACTTGTACATTTATGTAATATCATAAATTGCAAATCTTATAATAAAATGTTTTCAGATAGATCTTTAATTTTAAAAGAAAATAAATCACGTACTGTGATGCGCATCTTTGTCTCAAAA